GAGGAGGAGGAGGAGAAGGAGGTGGTGTGGTGGTGGCGCTCCTCATGAGTCCGAGGCGGATCGAACTAGGGAGTGTGGGAGCAGATGCCCCCCTCATATCTGCAGCTCGGCACCTCACCCACGAGGGGCACTAGCGGCAGCCCCGTGCATGCACGGGGGTAGCCAGTGCACAGCCCGTGCCGAAGCGGCTCCTTCCTGCACCAGGGAGGCGAGACCAAAAACTTAAACCACGAACTCAGACTTAAACCCACGGTCCAGCAGCAAGCAGCAACGACGCGGAAAAAGGGCGGGCGAGCGGGCGCGCTACCAAGGCGCCCCCGCGCCCCCCCCCCAAGGGAGGGGAGCGCAGGCACCGAGGGAGCGCCCCCGAGGGGGGAGGAGAGCCCGAGGGCCGAAGGAGCGGGAAGGGCGAGAAAGCGAGAGAGACGACCAGACACGACGAGGAAGCAGGAGGGGACCGAAAACTCGCACAGACACTTAGCCTAGACAGGATTTCAAATTCAGAACGCACACACACACACAGAACCCGAATTCGAGGCCCAAAGAAAAAGTTCGCTGCTCCAAAAAAAGTTAGGCGGGGCGGAGAGAAGAGGGACGGCGGCAGCAGCACACGGTGCCTTCATCAGCAGGCTCAGGTCTCGAGGCGCACGATGGAGGTGCCCTCCCCAACGAAACCGATCCACACGCGGCAATCATGCGAGGAGGGCGGCGCACCTATGATCCACTCAGGGTCCCTGAACCACCCGTGGCAATCATCGTCGACGGGCGTCACACTTATGATCCACTCGCGGTCCCTGAACCACACGTGGCAATCATCAATGACGGGCGTCGCACCTATGATCCACTCAAGGTCCTTGGACCACTCGCGGTCGCTGTCGATCCTCAGCTAGCGGCCAACCTCGAGGACCTTCTGGCCTTCCAGCTCTAAATGTCCAGGCGGCCTCGGCCCCGAGAATGCCTCACGCTTCTCCACGGACTCGATGGCGCCCACTAGGATCTTCTCGAACTTCTCATCTTTCATTCCGATGATGAGGCGCTTCTTCTTGCTGTCGTACATCTTCTCAGTGCGGAAGAGGCCCACAATGTGCTGTGCCTCCTTCGACCCTGGCTTGAACTTGTCCAAGTACTCCTTCAGCGGAGCCTTGAACCTTTCCTCGCACGACTCCAGCATGGTGATGATCGCCGCCGTCAGCAAGAATGAGTCTGGCGCCCCCAACCCATGTCCACCCTTCCCTTTGACCCTCGGCAGGTACTCCTCTGCGTAGGCCTTGGCCATGGCCCTCATGATGGGGCCCTCCACTAGCATCTCGATCTCTACCGTGCACGCTGCGGCCAGCAGCCTGGCCTTCTGATTAGCGATCACCCCCAGCTTCAGCGCTAGGTCGATCTTTTGCTTGTCCTCCGTGCATTCAATCTGGCGGTACTTCACAGAGCGACCTTGCGGCTCAGCTGCAGCGTCACCAGGTCCTGCATGCGCGAACTGTTCCTTCCACATCGGCCGAACAGCACTGCACCTTGGACAATGGGCACTCACAGCCTGGTGAGCACAAGACCGCGACCGAAGCACTCGAGCCAGACATCGACGAATTCACACGCACACCGCACCTCTGAGGCACGGTCAACAGGGTAGATGTGTTAGCATATGCGCTCTCGCCACTTCGTACGTGGCGAACTCCTCACTACACAGTTCACACCAGTAAGGGGGGTCGGCAACATGTTGGTGTACCGTGACTGACCCCCTCGACCTCGGACATGTTCCTTTCTTAACGGCTTGATCCAAGTGTTCCGACGCATATCGTTTTGTCGTATAAAAGTTGTTGCACAAGATGCATTTGTTAGATATAGTAAGTATTTTTGCCAGCTGCTTTTTTCCGTGTCCTTCTGCTTTTGAGTTAGACTGATGCAGCAGTAGCTGGCGACGCGTGTCGAAGCCCAGGCCACAGCCCTCGATGTCGCACACGTGTGGTGCGGGAGTGGGCGGCTCGGGCAATTCTGGCTGAAGTGCCGCAGGATCTGAGGATGAGGAGGAGGAGGAGGAGCAGGAGGAGGAGGAGCAGGATAGTGGCAGCGATCGTGGATCCCTCGGGCCGCCAGGGAACGGGAAGCAGGAGAGGAGGAGGAGGAGGAGGAGGAGGAGCAGGAGGAGGAGGAGAAGGAGGAGGAGGGAGGAGGAGGAGGGGGGGGGGGGAGGAGGAGGAGGAGGGGAGGAGGAGGTGGAGGAGGAGGAGGAGGGGAGGAGGAGGAGGAGGAGGAGGGAGGTGGAGGAGGAGGAGGAGGAGGAGGAGGAGGGGAGGAGAGGGGAGGAGAAGGAGGAGGAGGGGAGGAGGAGAGGAGGAGGAGGAGGAGGGAAGAGGAGGAGGAGGGGGAAGGCCCCGCGCCCCCGCGCCGAGGCTTCAGCAAGGGCCCCAACGCACCGCGCCGGCCCCCCCGAGCGCGCAGGCAGCCTCGCGCTCCGCGCCGCGCGAGGCGCACCGCCCCTCCGCGCCACCGCGGGCGGCCGAGGCCTCCGCACAGCCCGCCGCTCGCGCGCGGGGCGCGCCCGCGGAGCGGGAACCTGAACGTTGTCTTCCGTGTCTGCTCTGCCTGTTCTGAACGTTGTCTTCCGTGTCTGCTCTGCCTGTTCTCCTGCAGCTCCCCGCCAGAGACGAACACAGCACGCGGCCGAAGTCCGGCAGAGCAGCGTTCGGGTCCGGCCATGCCCCTGGGGCGTCTCGTTGGACATCAGGTGCGCGCTTGGCAGGCCCTGGAAACGACAGGGCCGTTTTTGGTCACCAGTTCCGCTTTGCCCTTCTTCTCCCACCCGACAGGTCGGGGTCGTTAGATTTGAGAACGACATCCAGGACCCAACAACGCCCACCCCGCCAGGCTTCAAAATCGTCACAAAGCGAGATCCCGCGCGTGCCCAGGGCACCTCCCGGAGAGGTAGAGACAGACGGCTTTGTTCGGCAAGGCAAGGGAGCTCGAAATGGCAAACTGATGGCATTCGTGCCGACACGAAAAAGTGGCTGGAAGGCTCATGCGCTCAAGGTGGGTGGTCAACGCGGCGACCACCGAACAAAACGCACAAAATCCAGCCCCCGTCAATCTGCAACGTCCGGGTCCTCGTCGTCCTCGTCGGTCCCCTCGATGACAACATCCTTCTTGCTCGGGACCTTCACCGCAGGGCCCTCGTCTCCCTCGACCACCTCGCCGCCGGCAGGCAGGGGGTCGAGAGGGCGAGGAGGGAGGCAGAGCGCGGAAGGAGGAGCAGGGGAGGAGAGTGGGGGGAGAGACCGGAGGGGAGGGTTGAAGGGGGCAGGCCAGGTTGAAGGGGCCCCAGGACACACAAATAAATACACACAAATAAAAAAGATTCCCCATATTTTCTCATATTTCCTGGGTGTTTGTCTTCCCCCCACTTCCCATATTTTCCTATTTTCCTGGGAATCGACGATTAATTGTGTCTGTGTTTTTTGGCCCTTCTGACAGGTGCGCCCGCGCCACGTCTGACACGTTATCCATCTCTCACGTCCCCGCCCCTTGCGCTGAACTGTCCTGTCCGCGGGCGCGCATCATAGCCGACCCGGAAGCCACATCGTGGCATGCGCAGTCAGGAAGGGAAGCTACGCACCAAGGAGGGTCGGGGGCGTCTAAGAGGGGGGGGTAAATCATGGCCGGCGGCATGTGCGCGGCCCAGGGGGGGCCAAGGACGCATTGAAATAAGCAGAAGCGCCGTGAAATCGGCGCGCAAGATGGGCCGGCGGAAGGGGCGAATCGATTCGATAAGAGAAGCGCCATGAAATCCGGGAAGATCTTAAGGCCCCCGCCATGAGATCCCCTTCCCTAGTCGTCACCCCGAGGCCACAAAAAGTACGGAAGGCTGCGCGCCCTCTTTGCCTCCTCCTCCTCCACCCCCTCTGCGGGAGGAGAAGGGGGAGGAAGAGGAGGAGGAGGAGGAGGAGGAGGAGGAACAGGAGGAGGAGGAGGAGGAGGAGGAGGAGGAGGAGGAGGAGGAGAGAGAGAGGAGGAGGAGGAGGAGGAGGAGGAGGAGGAGAGGAGGAGGAGGAGGGAGGAAGGGGAGGAGGGGAGGAGGAGGAGGAGGAGGAGGAGGAGGAGGAGGGAGGAGGAGGAGGAGGAGGGGGGGAGGGGAGAGGCCTGGGGGGGAGGGGGAAGGGTTGGACGTGAATTCATCGACTCTTGCAAGGGATCGGCAGTAGGATGGAGGTGCCCCGGGATCTGCTTCCGAGCCAAATCTACAGACTATACGTACGTCGAACGCTCCGCACATCGGCGGGGCTTTCTAGCACGTGTTTCGTAGAGTCGGCGGACACTCAACTCTGGGGTAAAACTCAACCCTGCAGTTGATCCCCTACACTCGAATCAAGGGGGGCGACAAGTGTTGGGGGGGGGAGAGCCGTGCACCCTTCGTACCCCTTCGGGGCCCCATGGGGGCACCCCTTTGGGGCACGAGAGGTGCACCTCTCTCCACCCCCATCCCTGCATCGCCCCCCCCCCGTTGCGCAACGCCCGAGCGGGGAGGGGGCGGCCAGGCCCAGGTCAGGGCGGCCGGACGCGGGGACTCTCCCCGCGGGAGCGGGCGCCTGCGACGGAGGCGCACGACGACGTGCCAGGCCCACGCGTCCTGGAAGACCCGAGTGTTCCACGCCACGCACCCGTCTGCGCCTCCGCCAAGGGCTCCGCCAGCACTCGAACGAGTGGCGAGGCGCTCAGGGCCGCCTGTGGGCCCACGGGGGGAACGTTCTAAAAGCCTGTTCGTGGTCTGCACCGAAGGTGTCCTACAACGGTTCTGGCCCGTGACGGGTTTTGTTTCGGTCCACCGGCGCCCTGGGTCTAGGAGCACTGGTGTTGTTGGCAGAACTCCTTGTGGTGCCCTGAGACCATTCCACGTAGGTCCTGTAGGCACGCCGGAATGGTCTGTCCGTGCCCGCCTTATCCGCGACGCCTTCGCTTCCGAGCCAGACGACCAGCCCTGCTCGCGAACCCAAAAGGGGGCCCAGCCG